CTCCTGTTCATCATTTTCTGGCCTTCAAGAGCGCGGTCTGGGCATGCTGGGCGCCTGGAGGGCTGGTGGAGCCTCCTCCGGGGTGGCGGTTCCCAGCTGTGTTTTGACAATAACAAATACACTTGCTCTGGCAGAGAATTTTTGGTTGGTTGGTTTGTGTGTTTCTCTCTTATGCATTAAAGGAGGAAGCTCATGAGATTAAAAAAAACGAACATTCAAGGCACAAACAGAAAATCAGGGGGTAGGGTTCGGCTTGTGAGCGGACATCTTCCATCCAGGGCATGGGGAGGTAAGGCCGGCTGGCCTCGGAAGCCTGCGAGAGCATTTCTAGCCTTGGTATTGGAGGCGTTGGTTGTTTCTCAGACTTAGGGAAACTCTTTGGGGATGAATTAAGGGAAAAGAAGCTTATAATGCACATCCTCACACAAGTGGCATCTACTGTGACCTGCCCTTTGAGGAGTCAAGGGGGAAAAAAGGCAAGAATTGTTTTATTGACTATTCAGTGCTCTTTATAATGCCTTATGGGTATAAAAAAAACAAAACCAGACCCATTGCCGTCGAGTCGATTTCTGACTCATAGTGACCCTCTAGGACAGAGTAGAACTGCCCCCATAGGGTTTCTAAGGCTGTAATTTTTACAGAAGCAGACTGCCACATCTTTCTCCTGCAGAGCGACTGGTGGGTTCTAACTGCCAACCTTTTGATTAGCAACCGAGTGCTTTAACCACTGCAGCACCAGAGCTCCTTCTTATGGGTATAGTGATCAAATAATTTATCATTTTGTTAGTGGAAAGGGTGCTGTTAATAATTACACCCAACAACAACAATGCCAGGCCAGTTGGGGTGTATAATTATCCTAATCACAGAAGAGACTTTTTTTTTTCAGACTTCTCCACCAGCTTCGCCACCAGAAAAGGAGCTTGTTAAATTGCATTTTCTGGATGCAGTGAATCTGTAACCAATTGTGTTTCCTTCTTTGCCTTGGCTTCTAGGAAGCTCAGAGCCATATTTGTGGCCTCCCTTTTGTAATTGTGCCAAACTTTACTAATGTATTTCTGCATACTGTCACTGGCTTTATCTTATTCTTAAATCCTTGTGTTTTTTTTTTCGTTTGTCCTAACTTTTTCTTCTCTCTGAAAATCTTATTGTATGTATTTTATAAGTTATTTGAATGGGTTTGAAGAAATGGGTGAGTGGCGAATTCTAGTAAGAAGACCAGACTTAATGGTCTGACTGAGACTGGAGGAACCCCAGAAAGCATGGCCCCTGGATTCTCTGTCGGCCCAGAACTAAAACAATTTCCAAGGCCAACTCTTCAGACAGGGATTGGACTGGACTGTGGGACATAAAGTGATACTCGTGAGGTGTGTGCCTCTTGGCTCGAGTAGATATAAGAGACTAAACAGGCAGCTTCTGTCCGGAGGTGAGATGGAAAGGCAGAGAGGCTTAGGAGCTGGTTGAATGGACATGGGGAATCAGGGGTGGAGAGGAGGAGTGTGCTGTCACAGTATGGAGAGAGCAATTAGAGTCACATAACAATGTATGTATAAATTTTTGTATGGGAAAAAATTAAAAAAAAGAAATGGATGAGTGGGTGAATGAAGTTTGAATAGATGGATGGGTAGATGTTTTTGGCTGCATAGACTGATAAGTGGGTATTTCAGTGGATAGAAGGATGTGTGTATTTTTGGATAGATGGGTGGATGTTTGGATCAATGAAGAGACGGATGAATGATTAGGCCCAATAGGATGGGTGAACGCATATTTGGATGAATGGAAGGATGGGTGGCTGACTGAATGTTTAGATCAACGGATGGATAGATGAATGTTTGATATATGGGTGTACATTTGGCTAGATAAATGGATGGATGAGTAAGCATTTAAATGGGTGAGTAGACAGTTGGATGAATGGAAGGATAGTCAGCTAACTGGATATTTGGATGGATAGATTTTAGCATGAATAGATAAATGTAAGGATGGCTGGGTGGGTAATCATCCATCATGATGGTGGTGGATGGTTAATGGGTGAGTGTATGGGTGTTTGTATGGATGAGTGAATGAATGGATGCATGTCTGTCTGAATACTCGGGTCACTGGATGGGCCTATGTTGGGATGTGTATGTGTGTGAATGGATGGATAGGGAGTGAGTGGAAGGATGGATGGCTGAATTGGTGTTTGGACGATTGGATAGTACTTTCTTGGTGCACAGTATAAATGCACCAGGGGTGAAGTAACATGTATAGAGCACTTGGCCAATGTCTTGCATGTCATGGCACTCTAACTTATTAGAAAGAGCGTAGTCTTTGTCAACTGAAAGACCTTTATTCTGACCCTTGCCTTACGACTATGTGACTTTGAGTGATTACCTAACCTCTCTACACTTCAGTTTGCTTAACCATAAAATGTGATTTAAAACACCTACTCCAGAAGGTTGCTGTGAGAATTAATGTATGTTTCAGGGGTGGATGCTTACATACTTCCTTCTGAGGTACTGTTTGAGACGGGATCTTTTTACCAAAGCATGGAATAGAAGTTCTTCTCCTCAGTCTGATTGAGCTGACCCAAGTCACGTGCTCACTCCAGGACCAGTAGCAGTGGGGATTAATGCTAATCCCCAACGGCGTGTGCTCTTTGGAATAGATTGATCAGGCTCCACTCCCAGGGTTGGGACATGCCAACTTCCCCTGAGTCGCCTGCTTAAATGAAGGGAGGGAGGGAACTATTAGGGGGCTGCCAGGTCAGATCAGGTGAGAGGTGATGGTGAGCCTGACAGGTAGTGGGAATGGGCAACCAATGGGCAGACTGGGGGCATGTTAAGGGTGTAGAGAAACCACCCTGTGGTGGATGATTAGATGTGGGGAGAGAGGCAGAAGGATAACAGCGTTCACTGAGATGGTGAGCCCGAGGGAGGAATGGGCTGAGGAACGTTGGCGAGTTGAAGTTGGGTCGCCTTGCCTTTGTAGTGTTTGTAGAGAGCCAGGGCAGAGGCAGTTACATTAGTGTGTCTAGGGCTGTGATGAAAGGTCAGGGCTAGAAACAGAAATTGGGAAGTGATCAGTATCCCTCAGCCTTTATAAATCCGTGTGCCCTTGCATAAACACAAAAATCTTCCATCTTCCTTTAATGTTATTTAAAATTCCTAAGTGCATTAAATATCATACTAAAAACAATCTGGATGAGTTGCAGAATTGAATCTGCTTCCCAGCCCTGGAGAATCGCCCACGCACATGGCCCCTGCAGGCAAGTTGTTTCTTGAACCTTTGGAGATCCAGGCTACTTTGTTCCTCCCTTGTCAAGCTGATTGGTGGGCACCAGGAGTGGGCTGCACAGCCCAGACTCTGTACTCTTGCACCTTGGATGCTGCGGCTTTTACTGCAGTTATCCCCTCTGGTCAGCAGGGTTCCTGGCAGCCAGGTGTGGAGGCGGTGCTTGGTCACCTCTGGAGACAGGGAGCTCACTACCTTGTGAGACAGCCTCTGCCTTCCAGGTGGGTATTCCTTCTAGTGAAAGTTAATTGGCCCCCATGAGTTCCCCTCACTGAGTACAGCTCAGCCTTGCGAACCAGTGTGGACAGAGCGAGCTCTGTGCCTCCCTGTGCCAGCTCAGGCGTTTGAGGGGTGATCAGGCTTGCCCCCAGTTTCCTCTCTTTTCCAGGCTGCCCTCATCTCTGCTTCTGTAGCTGGAACCCAGCCTCAAACTCCCTCTTTGACCTGGCAGTTTTCTTCCCATGCTTTCTCCCCTTGTAAGGCACTTCCAGTTCCACTTAGCTGGGGTACTTCCGGTTCCGCTGTGTGTGGAAGCAGTTCCCTTGATGCCTGTATTTGTCCTGGGACTTCTGGAGGTCAAGTCCAGTTTTGGTTGATGTGGGCAAGCCCCATGAGTTAGGGCAGGGGAGTCTGAAGACCAGGTAGTGAGATGAGCTAGCGCCCCAGGCCATTGCTAACATGGTCTCCCTATGCCTGGGACCGCCATGGTTCGCACTCCCAGAGAGGCCCATTAGGGTCGGGATTAGGCTCCCTTGGACTCCTAAGCCAGACTGTATGGCTCGAATCCCACTTGTACCACTTCCTGGGTGTGTGACCTTTGACAACTTTTTAGCCTCCCTGCACCTTAGTTTCTTTAATGCTTTTGTAAAATTGAAATGATGATGATAGTACCTATTTCACTGAGTTAGTGTGCAGACTGAAGAGATGAGAGCGTATCAAGTGTTGGGAGTAGGCCTTGGGCATTGAAGCAGCTCATTGAATGTTAACTGGGGTGTTCCTGTTAGTCTCTGAAGTCTCTCCAATCTCTGGAGCTCCAGAACTGATACCCCTTTGGCTCCTGATGTGAAATGTTGAAAAAGCCTTAAAACAGCAAAAAGGGTGACCTTTACAAAGGCCGTTGGCCATTGTCTATGAGACAGAAGCCTTTGTTACAGCAAGGAAACTGGAGCAGTAGAAATTCTGGATTCAGCTGCTGATGTGGAAAGAAACTATTTGGGGGAGTAAATGGGCTTTTCTTTCATTTCAGGGGTTACTTTTTTTTTTGGTGGTGGTTGCCTTTTCTGCCCGTGTGTGGAATTAATTTTACCTGCTTCCCCCTGCTGCACAAGTAACGAGCTCCCCATTTCTAGGAGGCTTTCAAGTAGCCTGGATAACCAGTTCTCAGAGACCGTAGACAGGATCCCTACATGCTGTTAGTGTTAAAAGACTTTTGAGGGAAGCAAATCTGGGCTGGAATTGTGCCTTCTTCCCTGTGGTGACAGCTGGGTGAAATCGTGTAGGGAAGCTGCCCGCACCATGCCCAGCAGGTGGCCCTGCTCTGTAAGGAGGTGGCCAGCCTTGCCGCAAAGCTAGGATCTTCATCTTTGTAATCGTTGGGTCCCCAGCCACCAGCAAGGACCTTAGTACATACCTGTTGAGTCACCCCTAACCATGCATGCCCTGGTGGCTTCAGCAGTGGGGGTGGGGGGACCCCAGGCTCTCCCTCTGACACCTCTCTGCCCCTCGTTTTGCAGACATTGACGAGTGTGAGAATGACTACTTCAACGGGGGCTGTGTCCATGAGTGCATCAACATCCCAGGGAACTACAGGTGCACCTGCTTTGATGGCTTCATGTTGGCACACGACGGACACAACTGCCTGGGTGAGTGAGGCAGTCGTGCCTACCCACGGGGCCCACCCTGCCCACCAGGCCCACTCTAGCCTGTTTCTCAGCTCCGGCTTGCAGAGTTGGGAGCTGGAGAAAGCTTGCCTTCCTTTGGTTCCTTGAGGACTCTTACATAACTCCAGATTTACATGATTCAATTATATATATTTAAAACAGTGATATAAAATTTGTAAGAGTAATGACGCTTGCCACATAAAATTGGAAAAATGTAGAGTAGGGAGAAGAAAAATGTAAACCATTTTTAGTGATGCTGGTGTGTGTCCTTTCACTCTTCTCTCTGTATCCAGTGTTTTTACTCTAGTGCTGATCAGACGGTCAGGCTGGTTTTGTATCTGGCTTTTCCCATTAACATCAAGTGTACTCCAGGCATTTTTATGAGGCCCCTGTTGCTGCCAAGCAGCCCTGGTGGTGCAGTGGTTAAGCGTTCTGCTGCTAACCAAAAGGTTAGCAATTCAAATCCACCAGCTGCTCCTTAGAAACCACAGGGGGCAGTTCTACTCTGTCCTATAGGGTCACTATGAGTTGGAATCGACTCAGTGGCAATGGGTTTGGTTTGGGCTGCTACCATTGTCAGAGTTGGGTCAGATGAGGTGAGATTGTGCTGTACAACAGGCTCAGTACTGCACAAGTGATGCTGACAGTGGTCATCTGACAAGTGGCTACACAGAGGTGCTTCAAAGTCTGTAGCAGAGGAAGGGCATCTCACGGTAGACAGTATGTGGATCCTAAGCCCTCTGGGGCCACCGGCTGCTGAGTGACCCAAAACAGTCACCGGGGATACAAGCGTGGATTCGTCAGGAGCATGCCATGGATATGTGACTTAACTTCTCTGGACCTCACTGGTTAAAGGAGGTTGTCAGAGCAGCTGCCTCACAGGGCTCTTGTGAGCAGTAACTAAGATAATTTCCAACTAGCACTGAGAAGCGAGCCTGGCACTCAACGCGAGGAGCTGTTACTGTCATCATGCTCTCTGAGCCTCAGTCTTCCCCCCTGTGAAGTGGGGCTAATGGTGCTACCTGTGTCATCAGGTTGTACGTGAGGATGAAATGGCAGAGTGTGGGTGAAGTGCTGGCGCTTAGTAGGTGCTAAGTAGTCAACAAAGAGGCATCGCTAATACTCTAGGGACTTGGCCACCACTTTGTGGTTGAACATTGAGTATGTTTTTTTGTTTATTTGTTTTTGTTTTGTTTTTCTTACCATCAGAATCCAGAGAGGACTCTGGGCATAAAACTTTCCCCCTAGTTTTCCCAGTTGTATCCTGGGGAACGCTTCCCGGTAGTGGCACTACAGGGTCAAAGGATTATTCAGTTTTTTATGGCTTTCACTGCAGTGCTTCCTAAAAGGGCTTCAAGACTCGCACTGGGCCCGCAGCCTTGCTGGTGCGTGGTGTAGGGGGCCAAGGTCCGGAGTGCTCTGGAACTCTTCCTCAGAGTGGTTGTATTAGCTTCAGATTTCCCTGCTCGTTTCTGTTTAATGCATGTTGGATCTCAGACGAGCTTGTTATGGGAAACAGATCTGTGGATGTGTCGTTACACCCAGAATAAGTGCTAAAGCTCAGGTCTGAACAGCAAGCTACTGCTACTCCAAGGGACCTGTGAAGAACTGCCTCTGGGCTGAAGGTAGGGGTAGAAGTGGCTGACTCCCTGGAGGGCTTCAAAGAGGAGGTGGCATTAAGCAGGCTCTCCGAAGGCTAGGAGAAGTTTGCTGGGGGAGACCACAGCCTGTGCGGAGTGCTGTGAGGCCGGGCTCAGGTGTGAGGAGGGATGGGGGCGTGGACCTCCGCGGTGGCAGAGGTTTGGTTGCACTGTGAAGCACTGGGAGTGTACAACACTGACTGTCGCCGGCGCCAGGCCTGGTACTGAACAAGTGTCAGCTCCTGGATCCTGCGCACTCAGCTCTCCCGGTTGTCTCCCCTTTTATCAGATGAGGGTGAGAGTGCCTTCCGGTAACTGAATGGTCAGTGAAGGGTGGGGGCAATGTAATGAGCTGACAGTCCCTGTGGCCTGGGATATTATTTATTCCCTAATTTTTCATCGTGGTAAACAAATAGGACATCATGCTTGGTAAGATAGGTGTGGTTGCGTGCTGTCCAGTCGATTCCGACTCATAGCGACCCTGTAGGACAGAGTAGAACTGCCCCATAGAGTATTCAAAGCTGTAAATCTCTGTGGAAGCAGACTGCCACATCTTTCTCCCATGGAGCGGCTGGTGGGTTTGAACCACCAACCTTTCAGTTAGCAGCTGAGTGCTTAACCACTAATGGTCCCGTGGGACAGCCAGCTCAAAGCGGCAGTATCACCCAGGGGTCGAGAGGACAGAGCTTGGGAACTGCCAGCCCTGGGCTCAAATCCTGGCTCTGTCAGTTAGTTATACGCTGTGTGAGCTTTGGCCAATCACTTCACTTCTCTGTGCCTCAGTTTGCTCACCTGTCAAATGGGATCCATCATCCGTGTCTCATAGGGTCCTCGTGTGGATCCAGTGAGATCACGGATGTAAAACATCTAGAGGAACACCTGGCACTGAGCCCTTAAAACATAACGGGCATCAGTCTTGTCAAAAACTTCCAGACGAGATGTACTGAGGTGGGATGGTTTGACCGCCATGACCTGGTGGGGCCAGAGCCCGCTGTCCGCACTCCCTGGGGCGTGTCTGACACACGTGGCTCGCCTTCCAGCTACAGTACTCCTTCCTGGGCAGAACCACCTGTTTGTACGTTCTTGGCTGCAGCGGGTATGCCCAGTGCCTCCAGCGCCCGACCCCACCAGTCACCAGAGAAACGGTGAAGTCCAGCCTCTGTTTCAACAACATTGTTTTCACAGTAATCCTTTTTACACTGATTACTTTAAAAGAATCGGGTGAGTCTCCCCCACTGCCTCCGAGGACAGAATGCAACTTCACGTGCCTCTGATTTACACAGATGGCAGCCAAGAGAAGACTCTTGCTATTGCTCCTCTGCTTTTAGTTGAGGGCAGACCCTCCCCAACAAACACATCTCTAGCACTAGAGACAAAGCTGCAGCGCTAGAGAACGCAGACCTGGATTCTAACCAGCTCCACGCCAGCCTGACCGTGTGGCCTCAGGCTAGCTGGTTGAACTGTAGGGGCCACGGCTCCCTTGTCCATGAAACTAAAGTGCCTGGTACAGTGTCGGATCACGGAGGCTTGATAAACGTTGGCTGAAACGAATCACGCAAGAGTCTGCTGGGCTTGGAGCTTAAAGACCCTCAATTCTGGTGCTACCACTCATGAGTTGTATAATGTGGGGCCAGTTCTTCAAACCCTCCCAGCTTCAGTTCCTCAGACTATGAAATGTGTCCGGAATTTCTGTCTCAGAGGCTTGATAAGACAATTAAATGTGGAAATAGGTGTGGAGAGCTGGATGTACCAATGCGAAATTCTGAACAAATGCCATGTGTGGGCGTCACGTGGTGGCAGAGGTTTCGAGCTGCCAGCCCATAGTCCTCCTCCGGCCTGCAAACATGTTTGCTTTTCCTCATAGTGCTGTTGTTGATGATGATGACGATGATTGTATTATTTGTCGTCTTTTAAAAATGAGGGATGTCCCACTTTGGTGACTGGCATCTGGGGTCTTAAAAGCTGGCGAGCGGTCATCTAAGATGCATCAGTTGGTCCCAACCCACCCAGAGTAAAGGAGAATGAAGAACACCATAGACACAAGGAAAGTACTAGCCCAAGAGACAGAAAGGGCCACATGAACCAGAGACTTCATCGCCTGAGACCAGAAGAACTAGATGGTGCCCGGCTACCATCAGTGACCACCCTGACAGGGAACACAACAATGAGTCCCTGTTAGAGCAGAAGAAGAGTGGGGTGCAGAACTCAAATTCTAGTAAAAAGCCCAGACTTAATGGTTTGATTGAGACTGGAGGGACCCCGGAAGACATGGCCCCCGGACTCTGTTAGCCCAAAACTAAAACCATTCTCGAGACCAGCTCTTCCGACAAAGATTGGACTGGACTTTGGGACATAAAAAGATACTCGTGAAGAATATGCTTCTTAGCTCAAGTAGATACATGAGTCTAAATGTGCAGCTCCTGTCCGGAGGTGAGATAAGAAGGCAGAGAGCGTCAGGAGCTGGTTGAATGGACATGGGAAATCCGGGGTGGAAAGGAAGAGTGTGCTGTCACAGTACAGGGAGAGCAACAAGAGTCACATAACAATGTGTGTATAAATTTTTATATGAGAGACTAACTTGAATTGTAAACTTTCACTTAAAGCACAACAATAAAAAAAAAATGAGGGCTGTCACATAAAAATTGACATTTCCAGCGTCCTTCCTGCTTGGCCACTGTCAGCTGGCCCCTGATATTTGTGGCACCTGGGGCAAGAGTATACACGGAGGCCCACCCACCACCCGTATGTCTAAATATTTAGGAGTTTTTAGCAGCTCCCAGAACTAGAATATATTCTTTTTCTACCTTAACAAATATTCCTTCTTAATGATCTGGAGTAGTCCCTGGGTGGTGCAAATGGTTAATGTGCTCAGGTGCTAACCAAAAGGTTGGAGGTTCAAGTCCACCCAGAGGCACGTTGGAAGAAAAGCCTGGCAGTCTGCTTCCCAAAACTCAGCCACTGAAAACCCTATGGAGCATAGTTCTCCTATGATACACATGGCGTCACTGTGAGTCGGTATTGACTCCACAGCACCTGGTTAACGACCTGAAGGCCAGGCTTGAATGTAGAATTCTAGGATTCCTTGCAGTTTTGTGCCAGAAAGTATTTCGTTCCCCAGCTCCATCCCACACCACAAGGAACCTTGCACATAGTGACATCACTAGGGGGTGGTGGGGGTTGTGGACCACGCCAGGTGACACTGTCAGAGGGGTAACACCAAAATGACTGTCTATAAAAATATCCCTGTAGTTAGTTATAACAACAAAAACATTTTTCATCAGCCCAGCTTCCATATATCAATATACCTTCAAGGCTAAAACTCTATGCTAAGTTCCTGTTTGA